AGCTGCTGCGGCCAGCACATGGTGGGCTCCGAGCGTTACATATCCAACGCCGTCGCCACGCCCACGGTCACCTACGTCACAATGGCCAACAACACGCGCCTGCGCGCGAGTGCGCAGGGCATCGTCGTGCTCAAGGCAAGGGGGAGCTGCACGCACATCACACTCAACGATATGCTCATCGTCCAGAACCTACGCTTCAACCTGCTTTCCGCCGCCCAACTCATAAATTGCGGCGTTGACCTCAGCACGGACCGCGAGACTCGCGACATCCTGCTGCACTACGAATCGAAGACCTTCCCCCGCAGGCAGATCGGAAGAGCGCACTTCGAAAATGGAGTGTACATCTTGGATTTCGACATTCCCGACTGCAGCGGCGACTCGAACGAGTTAATTGATCTCGTTCCACTGCGCTTCGAACACATCCACCGCAGGAATTGGAAGCACCCTGACGGAAGACCGTGGGTGCCGCATCATCCCCACCCACGCGAACTGGCGCTGCACGACCCTGATCCAGACGGCATCTGCAGGGACCGCCACACGCCGACGGCATCAACCAGCGCCATCGTTGGCCGTGGGCTTGCTGCCATCGCCGAAGCAGAGCGACATGCACCTCCAGAAGAAGGCATGTCCGAGCTAGAGTTGGAAATCACCACGCAACGCGTTTTCGGCATCGATCAAAGCCCTCACGCCGGACCTCCCTCTCAGCGGCTCGAAGTCCTTCTGCGCGGACAACGCCGCGGAACCTTCGATGTGCGCAGAGTCGCGCGCCCTTACACACGTGAAGAGATCCTGAAGATCTACCCCCCACGAAGAAGCTTACCGTGGAGCAAGAAGAGGACCTAGCGCGACGCGAAGCAGAGGAGCTTCGCCGACAAAGCCTCGCCGAGGCACACGGCACCTTTGCATGTGTCGCATGGGGAGCCGAAGAAGAGGAGAGCGCCTCCAATGAAGGGGGGTGGGAAAGCACTGGCGGATGGGGAACAAGTGATACCGGCGGCGGGGGCAATACCGGCGGCACCTGGGCAACCGCAAGCGGCGGATGGGGCGTCGCAACTGGCGACGAAGGCAGCGGCTGGGGTGCTTCCCGCAACAAACAAAGGGGGGGAGAAGAAGCTGAGGCGCAACCCGCAGTTGTTCCCCTTGGTCGCCCCCCACGACACGCACTGCCCGCACCACCTCCACCTGAAATACAGCCGCGTCGCGACCCCTGGGACACCTTCGACTGGGGCAACGAACCGTCGACTCCGCGTCGCACTGTTTATGGACCTGCTCCCGAGCCGCGTGAACCTAACTTCGTCCCGGGAACCATCCCTGGGACCAACATTCCCCTCTCTGAAATTCGCAACAGAGAGTTCTTGGCGCTAATGTTAACTACCGCCAATGACGAAGCAGCAAAAGAAGCATCAGCAGAGCCTACCCCCTTACCTGATGAAGACCCCGAAGAAGCTCGTGCGCGCTATATGCGCACCTCCGGTTTTCGCCCTGATGATGCACTCTGGCACCAGCGCCTCGGACACCCTTCACGCGCGACGCTGAAAAATTGCATCGATGCGGGAGTCTTCGCTCATGGGGCGCTCCTGCTCCCAGACGGCACCAAAGTGAGAGGCGCGACACACCCGCGCAACTGCACCGTCTGCCCCGAAGTCGCGCTAAGCCACCAACCGTTCCCGCTACTCGAGCCAGGGACGAACCGCTACCCCAAGCTACACAAGGTGTAAAGTGACTTCCTGAACGTGGGGCACTGCGGAGTCGACGATGAAATGTACACACTTACCTTCATCGATGCTGGAACGCGTTACGTGTGGGTTGTAAACGTGGAATCGCGCAGCAGAGCATACGAAGTATTTCGACTCTGGCTGGCGCACGCGCAGCGGCAGTCTGGGGAAAAGCTAAAAATCTCGCAATCTGACGGCGCAGCAGAGTTCAGGAGCAAGGAGATGCAGGACTACCTGGGGCAAAAGGGGATCCAGCATCACATCTCTCTCCCTTGCGCGCACCAGCAGCATGGCGTGGCAGAACGAACAAACCGCACGCTTATGACGAAGGTGCGAGCGCTGATGAAGCAATCGAAGCTACCACCGATCTACTAGACCTACGCGATGCACCACGCCGTGCGGGTGCACAACATGCTGTCAAGAACCGCCATCAACGGCAACCTATCCCCTCATGTGAGATGGACCGGAACCAAGGGCGACACGTCAATGCTCCGCGTGTGGGGGTGCATGGTGCAGTACCGCCCACCGAAATCAACCATCGGCAAATTTGCTAGCCGCGCGCGATGGGGCATTCACCTCGGCATCAGCCACGAGCACAAGGCGTGGATCATGCTGGACCTACTCGGCCAGAAGACCACCCACGCCCGCGACGTCATCTTCTACAAACGGCTCTTTCTCGAGCAGTTCCGCCACGACGAGCAGACAAATGCGAACCGCGTTTACGCAAACGACAGGCACAGCTACGCAACACCCGAGGACGAAGCCGTTGCAGCAATCCTGGAGCAGGACACTAGGGGCGAATTTACGAGGGGAGATCGCTACAGCAGCGACGATGACAACGACGACAATTCCCCTGGAGGAGGAATGGGCGGAACGGGAGGAAGCGGCAGAGGCACAGCGGCACCAGCGCCACCTAAGCCTGAGAGCGATGACGACGACGTGCAAGAAGTCGTCCCGCAACATCACCATGACAGCACCGTCTCTGGGCTGTAGCTGCTCGGGCTCCACACTGCAACCTCAAAGGTGCCACGTGTCGTCGAACCTCAAAATCCTCGCCAAGCCATCACTGGACCGCACAGCAAGGAGTGGCGCGAAGCAATGGACGCAGAGATCAAGGCACTCGAATCCCGAGATACCTAAGTGCCGGTCGACCGCGCAGCAATCAAGGGTGCAAGAGTTCTCTTAGGCAAATGGGTCTTTCGAGTGAAGACTGCAGCGGATGGAACAATCGAACGCTTCAAAGCGCGCAAGGTGGTGCGCGGCTACGACCAGAGGCATGGCATCGATTTCGATCAGACATTTGCGCCGGTCAGTCGTCACACTTCCGTCCGAATCCTGCTCGCCATTGCTTCCGCAAGATGCCTGCCTCTCCGCCAGATCGACCTGAAGAACGCGTTCCTGTACGCGTTAGTAGATGCTGTGATCTACGTGGAGCAGCCGCACACCTATGGTGAGGGGGATTCGCGCGTCTGCCAGCTGCGCAAGTCCCTTTACGAGATCAAGCAAGCACCAAGACTCTGGCAGCAGTACCTACACAACATCCTGCTTGAAATTGGGTGCAAGCAGCTGCCTCACGACCCAGGGATGTACCGCCGTGATTTCCGCGGCGAATACATTTTACTTACGGTCTACGTTGATGACCTACTTTACACAGGATCGAGCAATAAACTACTGGAGCAGTTCGAGAAAAGCCTAGCGAGGCGCGTCGATATTACTTGCAACCACGAGGTGAAGCAGTTCCTAGGACTCAATATCTCCTACGCGCCAGATGCTATCCACCTCTCAGCGTCTAAGTACGCAGAAGAGCTTGGAAAACGCTTCAACATTTCACCTGCACCACTCTCCACTCCTTACCGAACCCCCGGACCAAACCACAAACCTGACAACAAAGCCCTATCTCCTGCTGGCATCCAGACTTATCAGCAGCAGTTGGGATGCCTGCTCTTTGCCTCTGTTACTTGCAGGCCCGACCTTTCCTACATCGCGAGCCAGCTGGCTCAGTACTCCCACAAACCAACGGCTGAGAATCTTCTGGACTTGCAGCGCGCCCTACAATTTTTCATTTCAACGCCCAAGATCGGACTTTGCTACTCAACAGTGCCAACCCCATCCTTCAACCTCATTGGCTACGTGGACGCCGATCACGCAGCGGACCCCGACCATCGATGGTCCAGGACTGGCTTCCTGTTCTGCCTCGAGCCGACGGGACCAATTTCATGGAACTTGCAGAAGCAGGAGCTGGAAGCGGAATTCATCGCAGCCACAGCAGCAGTTCGCGAAGGTCTCTACCTGCAAGAACTTCTGCAGGAGGCAAAAATTCCAGTCTCGCCCACCTTTCGTCTGCACTGCGACAATCAAAGCGCGATCTGCATCGCCAACAAGCCCGGTTTCGTCAATCGCACCAAACACATTGCGCTGCAATATTTCTTCGTCAAGGATGAAGTGGACAAAGGCAAGGTGGACCTGACCTACTGCCCAACAGGTGACATGGCAGCTGACTTCGTGACGAAGCGACCGCCACGACAGCAGGACCAGCACTGTTCCGAACTCAGCGGAGTGGTCAAGCAGGTCAAGCCGAGCTACGGCCAGGAGTGAAGGGGGGTGTTACGAATAGTAATGAATGAAACATTACTGTGCACTCCTAACCGCAGCTAAGGGAAGCATGCAGTATCGAGAACGAATGCGAAGAGTCAGAGTTGACTCGAAGCGACACAGACGGTTGGGGTGGATCTGGACTGTCGAAGCAAACAGCATCGGGCAGCTACAAGCAAGAGGAATTTGGCGGGAACAGTTTCGTAACTGTACGCGCCGCACGGTTGGGGATGAATTTGAATAAGGGAATGTACCCCTTAGAGTACATGGCTAGCTAGGACGATTCGAATTCCTTTGTACTCATATTTTTACTTTCAGTATTTGCTTGTTTTAATTATCTCAAACATTTTACATTCACTCTGCTATTGAGGTCAAGGCCCACCACTCAGTTGTGTGCGAACCTTCCTGAGGAGATCCTAGGGTCGATCACCTTTTTGATCACAACAAAGGCTTTCACGGTTGTCATCACACAATTGTGATGATAAAACATGTAGCAGTTTATAATCGCAGAAGGTGGAGAGCATATTTAACTCCCATCCTCCAGGTTGCGGGGCTGCAACTAACGGATCTATTGCTGGATCCTCCATTCCTCCAGCCCATAGCTCGCTCTCTCTCTTGCGTTTTTCCTCCCAGCACCTCAGATAAAGGCGGTCCGCGATTCGGCGGCCTGCACGTAGTTAGGAACGTTCAGCAATGGACGCCTCACAAGTGGTCGAGGCCGTGTCCATTCTCTACACCGATCCCTCCCCGGATCGCAAGTCGCAGGCCAACGCATGGCTCACCTCCTTCGCCGCAACTCCCGCCGCATGGGGCGTCGCCGCGAGTCTCGTCGAGTCAGCGCAGTCAATGGAAGTCCGTTACTTCTGCGCCAATCTCCTGCTTTCGAAAGCGCGTTCCGATCTCTCTGCTCTCCCCCCAGATTCGCGCGCGGAGCTCGGCGCGCATCTGCTGCGCCTCGTCGCGTCCTACATGACCAAAAGCAGCGTGCCACCTGTCGTTCTCTCTCGCGTCTGCCTCGTCGTGGCGGCGGTCGCGCTGCGGTCGGCCAATCAGCACGCGCTGAATGCCAGCACGCTATTGGACGTCGTGCTCCGCGCCGCTGACGTGGCGGAGAAGAGCGAGGGGGGGGCTGGGCCACAAGGGTTGGGGGGCGGGGGCGGGGGAGGGGGAAGCGCAAGCGACCAGGCGCTGGCGGTGGTGGTGGCGGTGCTGCAGGGGGTGGCGGAAGAGGCGGAGCAGCTGGACAGGCGGAACACAGAGATCACCCTCGCGCTCATCCGGGTACGCGCGCACTAGAGGATTTCACTGAGTACCGTTGACTAGCGTTGACTAGCGTTGGCCAGCGCTGGTCGTGAAGGTTGTGTCGTCTATGGCGTCCTGGCTGGCCTGTGTGCACGCCGCACTGCTGATTCTGAGGCGCCTCTGGAACTGACTCCTTCCTTACCACTGCCCTCCCCACTCTGCCACATTCCCCTACCCTTGTCCCCCCATCCCTCCATCCCTCCATCCATTCCTCCATCCGTCATTCCCCGCACCTCCAGACGCGCTTCCCGGACCTGCTTCAAATCATCCAGACCTACACGCAGCGCCACAGCTCCTCCCTCTCCGCGCCCTCCTTCCCCCCGCACCCCCCGCCCCTCCTCTCCGCCTTCCTCCGCCTGCTCCTCACCTGGCTGCACCTCGACTTCGCCTCCGTGGGCCAGCAGCCAGTCACAGCGTGCCAGCTCAGCACCGCCTTCCCCTTCCTCTGGCACTTCATTCTCCGCTCGCTCGCATCGCCCCACCCGCCTGTCGCTGCCACCAGTGCTGATATTCTTGTGGCGCTCGTCAGCCAATCAGAGTCACAAGGTGGGTGGATTATTCTCTTGTCGGCCAATCCGACGCCCCCGGTGGGTTCAGTACTTGTTGCATGTACGGTATAAGGGCCAATTTCACTCAAGCACTTGGGGCCACCAGGCCAAGGGAACACCCATAACCTTACGCCTCTCCTCTCTTTCATCCCTCCGTTCCGTTCTACCCGTCCTTTTTGAGTCGACTCAAAAGTCTCCTCTCTTTCATCCCTCCGTTCCGTTCTACCCATCCTTTCCATCCCGTTCCCCCAAATGTGCATTCGCCCCCAGGCCCCGGCCCGGCACCAGACAGACGCATGAGCACCATTCATGTCTGCCGTGGTGCTAACGACCCTCCTGGACGCCTGGAATGAGGCACACTCACAGGCTTACAGTCACACTCAGAGATTCCTCTCATTCCCCCCCATCCCACCCCCCAGCACCAGTCGTCTTCTCTGTGCTGAAAGCCCTGTTAGACGCCTGGAACGTGGCGCACTCACAGTTACACACACCAGCAGCATATGCACATGGACGCACGAGACCAGGCGTGTAGGGCAGAGGCGGCTGAGCAGCACAGCAGTGGCCATGGCAGAGAAACACCCAGAGATTCCTTCCATGCTTTCCTCCCCCCGCCTCCCCCCCCCCCCCGCTGCACCAGACGCATCAGATGACTTTTGAGTCGACTCAAAAGCACAGCAGTGGCCATGGCAGAGAAACACCCAGAGATTCCTTTCATGCTTCCCTCCCCCCCTCCTCCCTCCCCGCTGCACCAGACGCATCAGCACCCGTGATATCCTCCGTGCTCAAGAAAGGCCCTTCTTGACGCCTGGGACGTGGCCCAGGCACAGTCAGTCAGGTCAGGCACATGGAGTTTTGAAGCCAGGCGGGCAGTGCAGCGTGGCAAAGGCCGTGGCAGTGGAGCATCCAGACGCCCTCACTCACACGCCTCCTCTCCCCCCTTCCCCTCCCCTCAGCACCAGACGCATCAGCGGCAGTCATATCCTCTGTACTCAAGGCCCTCCTAGACGCGTGGGACGTGGCCCAGGCACACTCGGGCCAATGGTCACACGAGGCCAGGCAGGCGGTGCAAAGGGGCCTGAGCGCCGTGGAAGTAGCTGTAGCACAGGAGCACCCAGAGGCGCTCACATGCCTCCTTCCCCTTCCTTCCCCCCTTACCCCCTTCAGCAGCAGATGCATCAGCACCCGTAATATCCTCTGTACTCAAGGCCCTCCTTGACGCATGGGACGTGGCCCAGGCACAGTCAGGCCAATGGTCGCACGAGGCCAGGCGGGCGGTGCAAAGGGCACTGAGCGCCGTGGCACTGGCTGTGGCAGAGGAGCACCCAGAGGCGCTCACAGACCCGTGCACCCCCGAGGCTTCATCCCTTCCTCCACTTCCCCCACTTCCCCCACTCCCTCCCTCCCTTTCTACCGCTCTCCCCCCCCAGCACCGGGTGCATCAGCACCCGTCATCTCGTCTGTTCTAAAGGCCCTCCTAGACGCGTGGGACGTGGCGCCTGCACAGTCAGGCCAATGGACGCATGAAGCCAGGCGGGCGGTGCAGAGGGCACTGAGCGCCGTGGCAGTGGCCGTGGCAGAGGAGCACCCAGAGGCGCTCACAGACCCGCGTGCACCGCACTCGAGGCTCCATCCCTCCGTCCGTCCACTGCCCCCACTTCCCCCTCCCACTCCTCCCTCTCTCCCCAAATCCCTCCCCTCACCTCAGCACCAGACGCATCAGCACCTGTCATCTCGTCCGTTTTGAAGGCCCTGTTAGACGCGTGGGACGTGGCCCAGGCACAGTCAGGCCAATGGTCGCACGAGGCCAGGCGGGCGGTGCAAAGGGCACTGAGCAGCGTGGCAGTGGCGGTAGCAGAGGAGCACCCAGAGGCGCTCACGGACCCGCGTGCGCCCGAGGGCGTGGCTGTGGGGGAGGTCGTGCTGGCGTTCGCTGCAGGGGGCGGGGGAGCGTGGGGGGGTGGGGAGGGTGGCGAGGGGGAGAGCGCGGAGGAGGTGGAGGCGAGTGCAGACGGGGTGGTGGCGTTCTTCTCAGCGGTGAATATAGTGCCGGTGAACGAGAGGAGTGAGGGGTATCGAGGACCGCTCTTCTTACGGCTGGCTGAAGTGTTGACCACCAAGGTGAGCCATGGGGATGGCGTGTGAGCCATGGGGATGGCGTGTGAGCCATGGGGATGGCGTGTGAGCCATGGGGATGGCGTGTGAGCCATGGGGATGGCGTGTGAGCCATGGGGATGGCGTGTGAGCCATGGGGATGGCGTGTGAGCCATGGGGATGGCGTGTGAGCCATGGGGATGGCGTGTGAGCCATGGGGATGGCGTGTGAGCCATGGGGATGGCGTGTGAGCCATGGGGATGGCGTGTGAGCCATGGGGATGGCGTGTGAGCCATGGGGATGGCGTGTGAGCCATGGGGATGGCGTGTGAGCCATGGGGATGGCGTGTGAGCCATGGGGATGGCGTGTGAGCCATGGGGATGGCGTGTGAGCCATGGGGATGGCGTGTGAGCCATGGGGATGGCGTGTGAGCCATGGGGATGGCGTGTGAGCGAGTGCCAAAAGGGAGGGGAGCGGAGGAGGTGGAGGCGAGTGCAGACGCGGTGGTGGAGTTGTTCTCAGCGGTGAATATAGTGCGGGTGAACGAGAGGAGTGAGGGGTACCGAGGGGCTTTTGAGTCGACTCAAAAGGGTACCGAGGGGCTTTTGAGTCGACTCAAAAGGGTACCGAGGGGCTTTTGAGTCGACTCAAAAGGGTACCGTGGGGCTTTTGAGTCGACTCAAAAGGGTACCGAGGGGCTTTTGAGTCGACTCAAGGTGAGCCAGGGGGATGGCAGCAAGGTGAGCCAGGGGGATGGCAGCAAGGTGAGCCAGGGGGATGGCAGCAAGGTGAGCCAGGGGGATGGCAGCAAGGTGAGCCAGGGGGATGGCAGTAAGTGGGTGCAGAGGAGGTGCAGGCGAGTGCTTGCTGCTGGCGTGGTGGAGTTCTTTCTCACCTGCGAGCAATGTTCCGCTGAATGAATGGAGCGATGCGTTTCGAGTCGAGGGGTGCCCTTCCTGCGACCGGCTGAAGTACTCACGAGTCACGACAACAAAGGTATGCAGCACATGTGCTTAGTTAGATGGATTAGTCACCACTCATGGGAGGGGAGGCGACGGGAAGGGAGGGGAGGGGAGGGGAGGGTAGGGGAGGGGAGGGGAGGGGAGGGGGGGGGAAGGGAGGGAAGGGGAAGGGAGGGGAAGGGAGGGGAGTGTGCGAATGCGGTGATAGTGATTCTTTCAGCCTGTCGTTCAGCCTCGCAGAGTGGGGCCTGTCAGCCGTCGTTCACATCGTGTCATCAGGTGCCCAGATCAGCCCAGAACAGCACCGTTTCACTCCCTCCCTCACTCCCGTCCCCCCTCTTCTCTCTCCCGCCTGCCCCTGCAGGCAGCCTATCCGCCGTCGTTCACATCGTGGGCCGACAACCAGGAAGATGCTGATGCCTTCTACCGCTTCAGGGACCAGGTGATTGCAACAGTGGCCAGGTGATTGCAACGGAGGCCAGGTGATTCCAACAGAGGCCAGGTGATTCCAACAGAGGTGATTGCAACAGAGACCAGGTGATTCCAACAGTGGCCAGGTGATTGCAACGGAGGCCAGGTGATTGCAACAGAGGCCAGGTGATTCCAACAGAGACCAGATGATTCCAACAGAGACCAGGTGATTCCAACAGAGACCAGGTGATTCCAACAGAGACCAGGTGATTGCAACAGAGGCCAGGTGGTTGCAACAGATGCTAAGATGTGCCAACAGGGACGACTAGAGTATAACAAAAGGGATGGGGTGATATTACAAGACAGGTGCTTGCATTGCATTTCCCTTTCTCCCAAGACTTGTGTCTTTTCTCCAAAAGGTGGCTGCTGCTCCCTATTAGTCCTACCCATACCCATACCCATCACATCACATGAGGTGCTTCTCGAGTTGACCGAGAAGTCGCCTGGTTGCTTTCGGAGCTTACCATGTCACCATGTCACCATGTTACCATGTCATCATGTTACCATGTCACCATGTTACCATGTTACCATGTTACCATGTCACCATGTCACCATGTTACCATGTCACCATGTTACCATGTTACCATGTTACCATGTCACCATGTTACCATGTTACCATGGTACCATGTTACCATGTCACCATGTTACCATGGTACCATGTTGCCATGTTACCATCTCAGGAGCAGCTGCCTGTACAGCCACTTGCATTTGTCCAAATGTTGTTGATTGATTTCTCCTGCCATCCCACCTGGTCTCTGTTGTTTTCACCTGGCAGCTAGCAGCGGACGGGTTGCACATGGCGTTCGGGCTGCTGCCACTGGAGTACATGGATCGTGTGGGGGCGTCCCTGCAGGTGGGTGGGTGGGGGGAGCTTCTTGCAGGTGGGAGTGCGTTGTTTGCACGTACTTTGGGTTGGGCTGCAGCCACTGGAGTACATGCACCGCGTGGGGGCGTCCCTGCAGGTGCGTGTGGGCACCAAGGGACCGTGACCCCGATACCCTGACTTGAGACACGGGTAGGCATGCTGGCATTGCACTACCCACTTTGGGCTGCTGCCACTGGAGTACAGGGACCGTGTGGGGGGCGTCCCTGCCACTGGAGTACAGGGACCGTGTGGGGGGCGTCCCTGCCACTGGAGTACAGGGACCGTGTGGGGGGCGTCCCTGCCACTGGAGTACAGGGACCGTGTGGGGGGCGTCCCTGCAGGTGCGAGCGAGAGCAGGGGACTGGTTGATGTGATGAGTCGAGACACGGGTGACCAACCATGATGGCATTGCATTACCCCCTTTGGGCTGCAGCCCGTGGAGTATATGCACCGCGTGGGGTCCTCCCTGCAGATGCGTGTGGCTGTGGGCAGCTCATTGCAGGTGCGAGCGAGTGAGAGCAAGGGACCTGATGCCGTGACTAGAGTGGAGACAGGGGTAACCAGCCACGGTGGCAATGTTTTGAGACGTCTCAAAACACTTCTTCATACACATGGCAATGTTTTGAGACGTCTCAAAACACTTCCTCATACACATGGCAATGTTTTGAGACGTCTCAAAACACTTCTTCATACACATGGCAATGTTTTGAGACGTCTCAAACCACTTGTTCATACACATGGCAATGTGTTGACCACTTTGGTTTGGGCTGCTGCCAGTGGAGTGGAGTATGAGGGTCGTGTGGGCACCTCCCTGCAGGTGGGCGTGGGTGTGGCCACATCTGATATGCTCACTTACGTTTATGGTTTCCCCATGCCATGATGTACCTTTCCTTATGCCACACCATGCCGTGTCATCCCATCACCACACCATCCCATGCCATCCCATGCCATCCCATTCCATCCCATGCCATGCTATGCCATGCCATGCCATCCCATCCCATCCCATGCCATCTCATGCCATCCCATGCCATCCCATGCCATCTCATCCCATCCCATCCCATCCCATCCCATCCCATCCCATCCCATCCCATCCCATCCCATCCCATCCCATCCCATCCCATCCCATCCCATCCCATCCCATCCCATCCCATGCCATCTCATGCCATCTCATGCCATCCCATGCATCACAATCATCACCAGCGAGTGCGGGCACATGGCAGGTCGCAGAGGCGTCGCTTTATGAAAACTTCCCATGCCGTGTATGGTGATTCTTTCCATACACCACACCATTCCATTCCATTCCATGCCATTCCATCCCATGCAATCCCATGCATCACCATGATGTAGGGTGCGGGCACATGGCAGGCAGCAGAGGCGTCGCTCTTCATGCTGCGATCCGCTGCCCAAGCAGGTACGGCTGCTCGCCTGCCACCTCACGCTGCTCGCCTGCCACCTCACGCTGCTCGCCTGCCACCTCACGCTGCTCGCCTGCCACCTCACGCTGCTCGCCTGCCACCTCACGCTGCTCGCCTGCCACCTCACGCTGCTCACCTGCCACCTCACGCTGCTCGCCTGCCACCTCACGCTGCTCGCCTGCCACCTCACGCTGCTCGCCTGCCACCTCACGCTGCTCGCCTGCCACCTCACGCTGCTCGCCTGCCACCTCACGCTGCTCGCCTGCCACCTCACGCTGCTCGCCTGCCACCTCACGCTGCTCGCCTGCCACCTCACGCTGCTCGCCTACCACCTCACGCTGCTCGCCTACCACCTCACGCTGCTCGCCTGCCACCTCACGCTGCTCGCCTGCCACCTCACGCTGCTCGCCTGCCACCTCACGCTGCTCGCCTGCCACCTCACGCTGCTCGCCTACCACCTCACGCTGCTCGCCTACCACCTCACGCTGCTCGCCTACCACCTCACGCTGCTCGCCTACCACCTCACGCTGCTCGCCTACCACCTCACGCTGCTCGCCTGCCACCTCACGCTGCTCGCCTACCACCTCACGCTGCTCGCCTACCACCTCACGCTGCTCGCCTACCACCTCACGCTGCTCGCCTACCACCTCACGCTGCTCGCCTGCCACCTCACGCTGCTCGCCTACCACCTCACGCTGCTCGCCTACCACCTCACGCTGCTCGCCTGCCACCTCACGCTGCTCGCCTGCCACCTCACGCTGCTCGCCTGCCACCTCACGCTGCTCGCCTGCCACCTCACGCTGCTCGCCTGCCACCTCACGCTGCTCGCCTACCACCTCACGCTGCTCGCCTGCCACCTCACGCTGCTCGCCTGCCACCTCACGCTGCTCGCCTGCCACCTCACGCTGCTCGCCTACTACCTCACGCTGCTCGCCTACCACCTCACGCTGCTCGCCTGCCACCTCACGCTGCTCGCCTACCACCTCACGCTGCTCGCCTACCACCTCACGCTGCTCGCCTGCCACCTCACGCTGCTCGCCTACCACCTCACGCTGCTCGCCTACCACCTCACGCTGCTCGCCTACCACCTCACGCTGCTCGCCTACCACCTCACGCTGCTCGCCTACCACCTCACGCTGCTCGCCTGCCACCTCACGCTGCTCGCCTGCCAGTGAAGAAGTGGCTACCAGTGAAGAAGTGGCTACTCAATCTGGAGGCATACGGGAAGAGGGAGCATCGCATGACAGCTGTGCCGGTGTGGGTGATTTTTTTGCAGCTTCCTGGAAACATCTACCCATGTCGCACTCCCATGCATCCAACCACACACCCCTCCATTGAAGAAGCGGCTACTTAACCTAGAGGCATATGGGGAGAGGGAGCAGCGCATGGCAGCGATGCAGGGGGAGGTGATGGTGTGCGTGAAACGGGACAGGACGCGGAGACAGCGTTCCACCCTCTAAGAATCCCAATGTCCCTCCCCCATGCCCCCACTGCTTTTGAGTCGACTCAAAAGCTGAGCCGGGACGCGGAGACAGGATGCTTCCTGGCGTTCCACCCTCTAAGGATCCCAATGTTCCACCCCCATGCCCCCACCAATCGTCCGCCCAATATTCCCCCCCAGTGAAGAAGCAGCTTCTAAACCTCGAAGCATATGGGGAGAGGGAGCAGCGCATGGCAGCGGTGCTGGGGGGGTTGATGGTGTGCGTGAGCAGCAGGAGGCTTCCTGGCCTCTCACCCCCTCACAACCCCCTTCTCCCACCCCCATGCTCCCCCCAATTTCCCCCTCAAATTCTCTCCCTCAATGCACCCCCCTACGGCTCCCCACCAGTGAAAAAGAGGTTACTAAACCTGGAGGCATATGGGGAGAGGGAGCAGCGCATGACAGCAGTGCTGGGGGGGGTGATGGCCTTGCACGCTACAGCTAAGCACCCCCAATCTCTCCCACTTTCATGCCCACCCCTTTTACCCCACCAGTGAAGAAGCGGTTACTAAACCTGGAGGCATATGGGGAGAGGGAGCAGCGCATGGCAGCGGTGTTGGGGGGGGTGATGGTGCGGGTGAGCAGGGACGCAGAGACGGGGGGGTTCCTGGCGTCCCACCCTCTGCTGGTGGACACGTGTTGCCTCCTCATTGGCTCCTTCGCTGACTGGCTCAACCTCCAGCCCGACTGCCTGCTGGGCGTCATCAGCTACCTCCTTAAAGCCCTGCAGGTGATTTCTTAAAAGCCCTTCAGGTGATTCCTTAAAGCCCTGAAAGTAATCTCTTGAAGATTTTACCAGCCTCCGCTGCCGTTCCCCTGTCCCTCTCCTTCTCTCATCTTCCCCCACCCCATCAGGTCCCAGAAGCGGTGCGCAGTGCAGCAGGTGCGTTCAGAGCCGTGTGCGCCCGCTGTGCTCCGCGTCTCAACGCCCCCTCCCTCCTCCAACACCTCATGACTGCCACGCTCTCCGCCCTCCCCTCCACCTCCCTCATACCCTCTCGCCCCCGCGGCACTGCCGCACTCCAATCCTCATTCTCAACCCTTTCCTCCTCCTCCTTCTCCTCCTTCTCCTCCTCCTCCTCCTCCTTCTCCTTCCCCTCGTCGCACTCTCATGCGCCCGCCTCCCATCTCGCCTCCCCTCACTCGGTAGACCTAGAGATCCGGCAGGCCCTAATGGAGGGGCAGGCACGGGTTATCGCCTCCCTCCCCCCCGCCACCGCGGCCCCTCTTGCTCTCAGCCTCACCTCGCCACACATACAGCTGGCGGCACAGCTGGCACAGATGCAGACAAATGAGACCAGTGGGTTTGGATCTACCAGTGATGGTGGTGGGAGGAGTAGCACTGGTGGTGCAATTGGTGCGGCTGGGAGTGGTGGGAGTGGGGGTGAGGGGGTGGGAGAGTCTCTGTCTACACAGCTGCTGCTGCTGGCTGCCGCTGTGCGTTTCCTTGAGTTTGACGACGCCTTGAGACGCATGCCGCCCTCCCAGCAACAACAACAACAACAGCACGAAGCGATGAGGAACGGAGGGGCACACATACCAGAACAACAACAATCACAGAACCACCAACAGCAGCAGCAGCAGCACCACCCGTGCATAGCAGTAATGGAAGCAGCAGCACCGTTGGTCTCCGATCTCCTCTCCTCCCCCCGATGGCGCTCCCACCCGCAAGTCATCACCGCCCTCTGCCACCTCTTCCGCCACTCCCTGCTCTGCCTCAAGCACCCCTCTCCACCCATCCTGCCGTCCATCGCACCGCTTGTCACCGCATTCGAGGAGCACCAGCACCCGGCAGTATTGGAGGTGCTGGCGTTGGTGCTGGAGCTCAGTGCTTCTGCAGCGTCTGCTGGGGGTGCTGCTGGGGATCTGTCTGTCTGCCACTCCGCACTGCAGGCCTGCTCCATCAGTGCCTTCTCGCTCATTCAGGTGAGAAGGTCTCAGGTGAGCCTGTCTCGGGTGAGCCTGTCTCAGGTGAGCCTGTCTCAGGTGAGCCTGTCTCAGGTGAGCCTGTCTCAGGTGAGCCTGTCTCAGGTGAGCCTGCCTCAGGTGAGCCTGTCTCAGGTGAGGTGAGCCTGTCTCAGGTGAGCCTGTCTCAGGTGAGCCTGTCTCAGGTGAGCCTGTCTCAGGTGAGCCTGTCTCAGGTGAGCCTGTCTCAGGTGAGGCTTCGCCTTCTCTGCATGAAGCATTCGTGGGGCACCAGCACTGCAGGCGTGCTCCATCACTGCAGGCGTGCTCCATCACTGCATTCTCTCTCATGCAGCTGAGCCTTGTCTCCCGTCTCTGTTCAGCATGCGAGCATCGCCAGCACCTGGACGTGTTAGAGGTGCTGGCATTGGTGCTTGACCTCAGTGCCGCTGCCGCTGCTGTGTCTGCTGCGAGTGCTGGCGGTGCTGACGGTGCTGGAGGTAATGCTACTGCTGGCCATCTGTCTCTCTGTCACTCCTCCCTGCAGACGTGCTCCATCTGTGCGGGTGAGCCTGTCTCCCGTCTCTGTGTTCGGCATGTGAGGAGGAGCCTGCACCTGCACCTGCACTTGCACCTGCTGTTGCAGGCGCCCTTTCAACACCTCTCAACCCACCTTTATCTCCACCCAACATTCTTTGTTATCCTGTTCACCACCCCCTCCTGCTCCTCTCCCTCACAGCGCGGTCACCTCCCCCATCGACCAGAGGTGCTTTCAGCCCTATTCGACATGGCCTATCGCTATCTGCTCTTCGCGCCGCACCTGCTGCTGCAGGCGCCCTTCCTGGGGGCGCTGCTGGACGCGGCAGCAGCCACAGTGGCACACGGAGAGAGAGATTCCGCCAAGTCAGCGCTCACGCTGCTCTGCTTCCTGCTCTCCCCGGGCAAGAAGGCGCTCTCCTCCCCTGCTTGGATCAGGTGAGACCGTCACTCTCCCACACCTTCTCACTCTCTCCCTTGGCGTCGCCCCTCGCCCCTCGCCCCTGCCCCTCCCCCCCCCCAGTGCCCGTTCCGTGATTGTATCGAGTCTGTTAAACCAGGGCCAACCAGTAGTCTTCTCCCCCCTCTCTCCCCTCCCCTCCCCTCCCCTCCCCTCTCCCTTCTACCTTTGCCCCTCCTCTCCCCTTGCCCCTCCTCTCCCTTCGCCCCTCCTCTCCCTTCGCCCCTCCTCTCCCTTCGCCCCTCCTCTCCCTTCGCCCCTCCTCTCCCTTCGCCCCTCCTCTCCCCTTGCTTCTGCTCTCCCCTTGCTTCTGCTCTCCCCTTGCTTCTGCTCTCCCCTTGCTTCTGCTCTCCCCTTGCTTCTGCTCTCCCCTTGCTTCTGCTCTCCCCTTGCTTCTGCTCTCCCCTTGCTTCTGCTCTCCCCTTGCTTCTGCTCTCCCCTTGCTCATCCCATCCACCCTCAGTGCCCAACCCGTGATTATAGCGAGTCTTGACCAGTCAGTTGTCTCCCCTCCCCTCTCCCCTCTCCCCTTCCCTCTCCCTTCCCCTCTCCCTCTCCCCAATCCCCTCCCCTCTCCCCTCTCCCCTCCCTTCTCCCCTCTCCCCTCCCCTCTCCCCCTCGCCTCTCCGCTCTCTCCTCACACCTCCATTCCCCCCAGTGCTCAACCCGTGATTATAACGAGTCTGCAGCACCAGGGCCAATCAGTCATCTCCTCCCTCCTCCTAGCAGCCGCCGGAAAAGCCCCCAGAGATCTACTCAGACCCATCGCCATCGCTCTCCACCACCTCATCCTCCTCCCGGACCTCCACCCGCTCCTCCCCAACTGGCTGGTTACCGCGTTACGTTCACCGGACTTTCAGAGAGGCGTGCCAGAGGCGGTGGGGGAGGGGGAGATGCAGCTCTTCTGTGAGTTGGTGTTGAGGCAGCCCCCGCTGCCAAGGCAGCGGTTTGAAGCGCTGGTGGCAGATTTTGCCGCCCTCTGCAGGTCTGAAGGGACCGCCGACGCGCTGCTGGGGTATCAAATGTAGTGTCAGATGCGCTCCTGGGGTATCAGATGTAGTGTCAGATGCACTCCTAGGGGTATCAGATGTAGTGTCAGATGCGCTCCTAGGGGTATCAGATGTAGTGTCAGATGCGCTCCTGGGGTATCAGATGTAGTGTCAGATGCGCTCCTGGGGTATCAGATGTAGTGTCAGATGCGCTCCTGGGGTATCAAATGTAGTGTCAGATGCGCTCCTGGGGTATCAGATGTAGTGTCATCCATGTGTGTTCGTGTGAGGCGGTGGGGGAGGGGGAGATGCAGCTCTTCTGTGAGTTGGTGTTGAGACAGCCCCCGCTGCCAAGGCAGCGGTTTGAAGTGCTGGTGGCGGATTTCGCTGCCATCTGTCGCTCTGAAGGGACGGCTGATGCGCTGTTGGGCTATCAGATGTAGTGCAGCTGATGGGTGTCATTGTGTGTGCAGCGAGCTACAGTATCGTGTGTGTGTGGCTGCAGCGGCAGTGGGGGAGGGGGAGATGCAGCTGTTCTGTGAGTTGGTGTTGTTGAGACAGCCCCCGCTGCCCCGCCAGCGGTTTGAAGAGCTGGTGGCGGATTTTGCTGCTATTTGCCGCTCTGAGGGGGCGGCTGATGCGCTGCTGGGGTATCAGATGTAGTGATACCGCTACGATAGGGAGCTGATGCCCTGCTGAGCTGATGCGCACGCCTGATACAGTGATGCGCTGCTGGAATATCAGGTGGTGTCTTGCGTCACTGATGGGTGCTGCTGTGCTTGTAGCCCTGTGTGTTGCCGCGTGGTTTAGAGGAGCAGGCCATGTGTGTAGCGAGCTAAGCCACGCGTTTAGCAAGCCACATGATTAGCCATCTATGTGTATGTTGAGATAGAGACTGATGAACCCTTTAAGTGGTTGGCTTATCTAGGCATTATATTTATCGCTTTGTTTACATCCACGATTGTAGAATATGCAGCAAGAAGAAATCGCTTGGTTGCGGTGAGGAACAGGAATCCCAGAAATTAAGCAGAAACAGGTGAGCAGTATATAGAGATTTATGGTCCTAGTGCTGATGTTGGGGATCAGTCCTGAGATGTACGAACAGAACTGTACAGGGTGTAAGGAAGAGGCAAAGACAATGCTTATTATTTACAATTACTACTATAGTGCTAGTAGACTAGTTGAAACACTGGCTACAGACCTTATGCGTTTTCAACACTCTGTACCGTAGAACAGTACCCGACCATTTCGCCCTTCCCTTGCTATGGCTTCGGTGAGCACTTTCTGAGGCGAGGATTGGTGGAAAGGAAGCGGCCTAGCGGCCCTTGCAAACCGAACCAAGCCGATAGATTCTAGTGGCAGCTTCCGTACCACTCCATCGCAAGCGCAACGCAAACAAGCGGCTGGTTGACTGCGGCCGCTTTTGATACCTTCTCGAATAGGCGATTCGCGGCTTGTCCTTCCGAGTCGCTCGCTTGTCGCTCATCGTCCAGTAGCCGAGCCGCTCCATGCATGCTTCGTCAATTAATCCGACGAGCGTGCAGTAGAGTACAAATGTTCAGGAATTTGGAGATTTTAGTCATTCAAGCTAATCTATCCCTTGGAGTTACTGGTTCACAAGTTTTCGACATTTTCACTCTACTCAATTCGCCCTTGTCTTCATCAATCTAGCTGCTTTACGCCATGGCTGCGAAGTCGGTCTCCGCGTTTTCTCTGCTTGTCCTCGCGCTCCTGAGCCTGTCATTGACCGTTGACGCTGCTCGCCCGTACTGCCGCTTCGATGGGAAGCTAGTGGTGAGCAACCTGATGAGGGAGCTGCGGGCCGCCAAGAACTACACCACCTTTGTCGACGGGCTGGAAACTACAGGTCAGATTCCGCTCCGCAGCATGACAATCACATTGAATGTTCTTGATTGTGATTTTACGCGCCCTCATTCATTCCTTAATTTCGTTAGATGATTTTCCAGCCTCACGTCCGCTTCAAGTTTTTTTCTGCCGTTATCCGTCAGGGCTGGACGAGGACCTGACGGACCTGTTCCACTGCTACGAGGCGACCGTCTTCGCTCCCACCGACGCCGCGTTCGCGAGCCTTTCGAGCGACATCAAATCGGAGCTCCGCGAAAGGAAGGTGCTTCGCGAGGTGCTGCTGCTGCACGTCGTCAAGGGCAAGGTCAACGGCGCCACTCTAGCCGGGCAGAAGGAGGGCCAGCAGGTGAGCAGAGGCCACGGCGGAGCAACGCGTGTCAACGATTTTGCGGTGTATACTGTCGTCACGGCTGGGAAAATCTTTTTTCTTTTGCCCGAAACTCAGTCCGATGCTTTTACTCGATCCCGTCGTCTGATCTACTTGTAATACCCTACCCCCACCATCTCGACCATCCTACCCTAATCATACTCCCACCGAACACTCGTACCCAAAATCTCTCAAACCACCTTACCTTGCTTCTTCCCCTCCCTACAGTACATGGCCGCGGCTGATTCGTGCAAGGCGCAGCTGGTGAAGGTCTCATCTGCGGGGGTCAAGCCGGTTCAGCTCAAGGCTGCGGACGGTGCGGACGAAGCTTCCGTGGTGGCTGCTGACGTCATATCGCTGCGAGTGGTGCAGGTGCACGGCGTGAATGACGTCATCCTGCCCAAGACTCTGAGCAAGGGCGACGACGACAGCCTCAAGCCCCGCAAATGCACCGCCTGGGCCGCTTAGTAGCGCTACCATGCTACCAGCTACTACTAGGTGGTTACCAACTAGGTGACCAGGCTAGGTCGTTACTGGGCTGGATGGTTACTGGGATAGTGGTTGTTACTTACCCGACGCTGGCCAGCTAGTATCTAGGACAACACCAGACCACACACGACCTGGCCAGCTATGATAGAGCTGCGTTGAGAGGTTGTTAATGGTTGAGAGGTTGTTAATGTTCGCCGGTGGTGCCTTCAATGAGACGGTTGTTAATACGATGCTGACTATGCAGGAAGAGCGTGGGTGGTTTGAAATAAGGGCTTTTTTAACTGCACCATGCGTGTCACACGGTGTGTATACAGTTTCAAGTTGCCAGCTTGGAGTTGCGCATTCGGCTTTGGATGTGAAATTGAACACCGTAACTACTAGGATGCAAGTGATCGTTAAAAATAAACTGCAACTTTACTAAAGTTTGCAACGCAAGGCTTACCTGGGCGTAACGCGAGACAGGTCAATGAGTCAATGCTCCTGGAAAACCTGTTTTGATAGGTCGCGAACCTTGGAGGCGTCTCGTAAGGCGCGGGTGATGGAACGCCGCGTCCGAGCCTCGAAAGGCTGCAGTCCGCCCATCCTTACCTGGTTACACCCTCGAGGGTGGGTGTTGGCATAGATGCGGAAGTGGCTCTAGAGTCGAAATACAGCTAATTCGTGATTCGATGACATGCACTGCAGGCTAACTATTTACAAACACGGATGACTTGCAGCAAGGCTGGAGAATAGAAACTGGCGTGACGGGCAAACACACGAAAGAGGAGCTATGGAAACAGGAAGGTTGAGGGGGGGAGGGAAACAGTGGACAGGGAGGAGAAATGCTTGGTTATGGTTCTTTGGGCAATGCTGGTGACTGCTTGCAGCTCGCTGAACTCGCAATTTTGTAGTCGCCTCTCCTTCCCTAGTCCTGCTCAATGCACTCAACCAGGCTTCCGTGCGACCAATTTGTGATCGCGAAGCGCAATTCGCAAATGCGTTCTTTTCCACACATCGCGGTTTGGGCATTTTCGTGGGTTCGTTTGTAAGATGGAGGTAGTGTGAATTCAGGTCTGCGTTTGACAGTGTACACTGTCAGAAGCAGACCAATATATGAACAAACTACCCTGAAAGTTCTACTTACGAATAAACCTGTAGAACCTCGATGGGGAAGCATGAAAAATTGCTAGCAAAATAAAAAAGAACTCCTCGTCTGCGTTCATTTTCCCCTACCCCACTCAGCTGCTTCCCCTCCCCCCCACTCCGCTTGGCCTGAACACTCATGCCCCCCATCAACTCACCACTCCTCTGTGCTTCAATGTGCAACAGGAGCCTACAACAGTATCTACTTTCTCATCCCTCTACTCCTCTTCGCTTTAATATGAGGAGCCTAGCAGAGTGGCTACTTCTTCTCCCCTCCACTCCTCTTCGCCTGAACGCCTATGCCCCCCAGCAGCTCCATCACTCGCTCTGCCACGCCCCCCTGCCCCATCGCGCATTTCGAGAGCACGGGGACGGGAAAGGGGCAGGGAGGAAGGGAGGGACAGGGGGGAGATGGTAAGACATTGTACGAAACTCAGGGGTCGCGCAACGTGAAGGACGAGGTGCAATGCTTCTGAGAAGCAGGCCCTCCCAGATTTCCCTTTGCCACGCACAGCATGCAACCCATGAGTGATCAGTTGGGAATGGTCTGTGTGTGTGTGAACTGCTGCTCTCTGCACACTGGTGGTCATGGCAGCACAGAGAGGAGAAACAGTTTCTTGTGGTGGAGGGCCGGTGATTACTGCGGGTATTGTGGGTTGATGTGGGTTTATGTGGGTTGATGTGGGTTGATGTGGGTTGATGTGGGTTGATGTGGGTTGATGTGGGTTAACGTTGGTGAATGTGGGTTATTGTGGGTTGATGTAGGAAAATGTGGGTTACTGTAGATTTACATGGTTAAATGCCAGTGAATGCGAGTCAGGGGGAAGGCATACGTGCTTCATAGCATGGATTGTGGAAGAGCCATGCGCCATGACACATGCACCATCACACATGCACAATCACACATGCACCATGACACATCCACCATCACACATGCACCATCACACATGCACCATCACACAAGCACCATCACACATCCACCATCGCACATGCACCATCACACATGCACCATCACACATGCACCATCACACATGCACCATCACACATGCACCAGCACACATACATCATCACATTATGAACCAAGCCATGAGCCATAACACATGCATCATGCGCCTGCACCACAAGCCATGAGCCATGCAACATGCACCATGCCATGCGCCATGATACATGTGCAATGCACCACGCAGCAAGCACCATGCACAATGCGATGTTGGGTGGCTCACGGGATGCCTGTGCAGGCAGCGCAGGCATGCAGGCAGTGCATGGATGCATGCACTGGCAGAAATAGGGTCCCAATCTTACTCCACTCCAGTGTGGAAGGGGATTCTAAGTGAGGGTGGTCGCAAGCTCAGTGTGGGTGGCAAACTCAGTTTGGGTGGCAAACTCAGTTTGGGTGGCAAACTCAGTGTGGGTGGCAAATTCAGTTTGGGTGGCAAACTCAGTGTGGGTGGCAAACTCAGTGTGGGTGGCAAACTCAGTGTGGGTGGCAAACTCAGTGTGGGTGGCAAACTCAGTGTGGGTGGCAAACTCAGTTGGGAGGCAAACGGGGGGGTGGGGGGGAGAGGGGGGAGTGGGGAATTGAGCAAAGGAGAAGAGAATGAAGATGTCGGGGGTGAGGGAGACGGGTGCTAAGCAGAGGAGAGTGAAAGGGAGTGTTTGGGGAAGAATATGAGAAGCGGAGAATATGAGACAAGGAGAATATGGAAAGGGGAAGAGGCGATGGAGAGGGCGGGACGGCACACTGCAGAAAGATTTCTTTTCAAAAGAGGAGGCTAAAAGGGTGAGCTGGGGGGTGGAAGGTTTGTGGGGAGCGAAAAAGATATCGATTGGCAGGGTAAAAAGCAAAATGTGATGGCTCATATTGGTCTCCATTCCGCGTCAGCCTGGCATGCCCGCCAGGGACTAACTCTTTGGAAGATAACGGGTTGTGGATCATCCACTCCGTCAGAGAATTCATTTCATCGCCAGCGAGATTCGAACTCTGACCATCAACTTGGGATCAGGTCACGTGAAGCTTAGGTTGAAAAGGGATAAGTAAACACCTCGGTCAGAATTACCGTAGTCGAGGTTCTAGCACTGTATCCTGTGAGCACACTGTAATTACTCATAACTCCTCATTTTGCCCACTCTCATTTATCAGTCATACCAGAAGCGCTGAGCTGTGCACCGAGTTTGAGGCAAGAGATAGACCATACCTAGTCTTTCTCTGCAGCTGCGCTGAATATACCTGTAATAGAGTCTACTTCCCCTTCCCCCCACTCCTCTTGGACTGAATGCCCATCCCCCCCAGCAGCTCCACCACTCGCTCTGCCACGTCCCCCTGCCATCACAGCAGGAGAGCACGGGGACGGGATGGGGGCAGGGAGGAGGGTGGGAGTAGGAAGTGAAGAAGGGAGAGAGGGAGGGAGGGGGAGAGGAAGGGAGGGAAGGGGAGAGTGTCAGCTAGGTGCAAATAAGGGTAGTTTCTACCTCCCCTTCGCCATTCCTCCTGGCCTGAACGATTATCCCTACAAGCAGCTCCACCGCTCGCTCTGCCGCATCCCCCTGCCACCACAGCATCCGAGGACGGGGACGGGGCGCGAGAGGGGAGGGAGGGGGGGAGGGAGGGAGGGAGGGAGGGAGGGAGGGAGGGAGGGAGGGAGGGAGGGAGGGAGGGAGGGAGGGAGGGAGGGAGGGAGGGAGGGAGGGAGGGAGAGGGAAGGGGAGCGGGGGGTGGGGGAGATTGCATGATTTCATCACACCATGCCACCCAGGCCACTCAAGATTGCATCGCACCATGCCACTCAAGATTGCTGAAAATCACGCGGCGTGTGTAAACATACAAGCATTCCCTCTCTTCCTCACACACTCCCATTCCCCCCCTTCCCAAATTTGGCATATTCGGTTGACAAACTCACCCTGAATGTAGGCAATTCCTGATGATACATGGTAGGGGAGAGGGGGGGAGAGGAGAGGAGAAGGGAAGCGCCCATCTGATAGGGAGCAGACAGATTAGAACGGGGGGGATGAAGGTGGGAGAGGGCAGGGAGATGAGAAAATGCGGGAGAGAAGTTGGGTCGGAGGGAGGAGGGGGAGAGAATGGAGGGAGGGAGGAGAAGGGAGAAGGCAGAGGTACGAAGGGATGAGAGACAGCAAGTGCGCGTCAGGTGAAGGGCGAACCCTGGCATGCATGTGTGCCATGCCATCGAAGTAGTTCAATGTGTCTCATCCACCCCACATACCCCATAACATCCCCCGCCCCCCACAGCGCCCCCGCAGCCCCCTCCTGGCGTGCACAACGCACCTTGACGAGCCCTTTTAGCGAGTCAGCGACATTGGCAACCAGGAGGAGCGAACGAACTGCATGCAGTAGGAGGTACTCCCTACTTCCTCATCAGTGTGTGTTTCGACGCAACTGGCTCGCACTTCACCAGTGGTGTAACTCCACCTGGTGGGGAGGGGAGTAGGAAGTATAGGTGGAAGGAACGGGAGGAAAGAGTGCGGTAAACGCGGTTAGGGGAAAATATTATGGCGATTGGAATGGAAATGGCGATAACGTTAGCGCGAGACAGTGGTGATGAAGGGCGGAACTGGTGGAGCTCTTTCCAGTCGCTCTGGACAAGTAACGAACGGACTCCTGGCGCGCACGACGCAGGATGGACCTCGTGGAGAAGCGCGACTCGCTGAGGGTGGGGCGCAAGGCGCACGAGACGAAGAGCAGGGGGGAGAGGGAGACGGCGGGCAGGCGGAAGGGCAGGGGGGATGAGAAACGAGAGGCGAATACAGAGGTAAAAAGGCACGGGGAAGAGAAAACGAGACCGAATACGAAACGCAAGGAGAAGGGGAAAGCGAGAGGAGAATACAGAGCAGAAGGGGAGGGGGAAAACGGGAGCGGAGGGCAGGGATGAGGAAGAGGCGGAAAAAACAGGGAAAAAACGAGGAAAAAAATCAGGCACACGGAAAGGCGCGCACGGAGCATTGCAGGAAGAAAATCGAGGGGAAGGCAGGCAGGGGGAAAGCGGCGGAGGGGCGAACTGAGGATAAGGAAGGTGCACACGGAGCATCCAGGGGAAAAAACGACGGGTAAAGCGAGGCCAAGGAGATGGGGTTGGCGGGTGTACGGGGAGAACGGATTTCACGGGGATGAAGTTGGACGGTTGAAATGTAGATTTTCGTTGATAGACGAATAAAATACTATAAGTACGGTACGGACGGAGTGGCGGAAGCAGGGTTGCGTGGAAGCAGCTCCTTGAATATAGCAGAGCGTGAATCGAGGGGGCTAACTAACGACTTGCGCAGAACGGTAGCTAGCAATAGTGACGCAAGTGTGAGCGACGAAGCGCTAAGTGGCTTGGGTGCATCGTGCGCTCCTAGCGTACCAGAGTGGACCAGGCTCTCAACTGTGTCCCATCCCCCCCTACTGTGTATCCCACCCACCCGTTCAACTCTTGATCCAACGGCTCAAATTCCAACCCTTCAACATTTTACCGGATTGGTTGTGGTGATGCTGATGACGCAAGTTCAACTTTTCTTTTCCCGTAGCCGTCAGATATGGCATGGATGAGCGATCGATGGTGTGTGTTGCTCGACACATTCAGATTCGAGCGCGTTAATCATCCATCCATACATGAACACGTGGGCAGACTCTTTTAGTCTCCACTCAGGGGGAAGGCACAGCAGAAGCGGGAGGAGAAATGGGAGGAAACACAATGTTTGACATTCTTAGATATGAATGTGTTAGTGGTACAGTGCAATTGTTGTCTACGAGGTATATCGAACACAATTGAATGTAATGCAAATTTGACCGTGTCGGGTCTTGAATTTCGTTCCCTTCTGTTACGAGTGCAATTGAGTGAACGAACGAGAATTGCACTATCGAAGCAAGAGTACAATGAGCGAAGGCATGAGCGAAGAATATATAGCGAAACTACAGTGGTAACGGTAATGGACTGTGGTTGTCGCGCGACGGGCCTGGGACTGAGGTTGGGAAAAGTGTCGAAGCGGAGGCCCGGAGCGCGGGTTACCCGCCGAGCCGTGAGGTCGGGGTGCGACGTGCGAAGGTGGCGGGCGGATTGTCGATGCGAGGATTGCGAGTGGTAACGGTGCTGACTGTGGTGCTACAGTGATGTACGCGTTGAGCAGGGACGCGAAATAAAGAAAAAGAGATTTTCCTTACACTACCCCCCCCTTAAGAAGGTCCTCCTTACGAAAGTGCGTGTACATCCCTGAAATTCCGGTTGCGCAGATACTCGGTGAGGACGGGGTGGTTTTCGATTCTGTCCAGGGGAACCCAATTGTCTTCGGTGGGTGTACGGTCCTTCCAGCGGAGTAAGAACTCGATCCTTCGGGCTCCTCGAGGGTCGCGAACTTTGTGACTCAGGATTTTCTCGGGGGTGATGATTGGTTCAGTCGGTGGTCTTGTCATGCTGGCTGGGCGATTGCGTGGCGGTTGGCTCGTGGACGGGACGTAAGGGCGAAGCAGGCTGACGTGGAACGAGGGGCTGACGTACCAGTCAGCAGGGAGGAGGAGGTGGGCGGTGACAGGTGTAAGCATGTGGCTTACCGTCATCACCCGGATATAAGACAGTGTTGAATAGTAGACAGGGGTTGTCTACTATACGGGTGTCTCTTATAAACAGGCTAGCCTCATTATAAAACACCTATTTGTGTGTACGAGATAAGACATATATGTCTTATAATCGAAACTTCAATAAATTATAGCGAAAGTTGAAATACCGCGTACATTTTTACCCTTGCGAAGCGCGAATTCTTCCACGCGCTGACCCAGGACCTACCAAATTTGCCCCTGCAGGTGTTCTCCATAACGTGGCGTCCCGGGCAGAGGTTGTCGAAGTGGCACCTTCGCAACATCCACACTCATTATGAGAAACTCTTTTTCAAGAAGTACGGAAAATATTTCTAAGTAGTTTAAAAAGTTTCCATTTATAAGACTTATAAGACACCCTAAACCATCCCGTTTACAAGATAACTCAAGCATTTTTGCCCATGTACGAGATAAGACATATATGTCTTATATCCGGGCGATGACGGTATGCGAAATGGCCCGCAGTATCGGGGGCGGAGTTTCGGGGTGATGGGCAGTCGGAGATTTTGGGTGTCGAGCAAAACTAAGTCGTCGGGCTGGTAAGTGACAGGTCTGCGGTGGCGGTCCGCGTTGCGTTTAGCGATGATGTTAGCTTTTTTAATTGCGTCTGCTGCCCTGGTTCGTGCTGCTTGCAAAATTTCGGCGAACTGTTGCGCTCGTGGAACCGGGTTGTCGGGATTCGGGGTCATGGGTACTGTTGGGTCTTGTCCGTAATTCAGGTAAAACGGTGACTGTTGGGTCGTGGCGGATGGGGCGTTGTTGTATGCGAATTCGATGAGTGGCAGTTGTTGTTCCCACGTGTTTGGGTCGTCGCACGTGGCCCGAATGAGCTGTTCCATGGTCTGATTTGTCCGTTCTGTCTGTCCGTCTGTTTCGGGGTGGTACGATGAACTAAACTGTAGTCGCGTGCCGAACTGCTGCCACAGGTTCCGCCAGAAGTTGCTGGTGAATTTCGTGTCTCTGTCGCTGATGATTGATGCTAGTATCCCGTGCAGTCGAACGACGGTAGAGATGAAGAGGCGGGCTGTTTCTTCGGCTGTGATTGATTTTTTGCAGGCTGCGAAGTGTGCCATTTTCGTCAGTCGATCGACGACGACCAGGATCGCGTCATTTCCACTCGCCCCGGCCGGTAACCCCGTGACGAAGTCCATCGTCACCTGCTGCCAAGCACGCTCTGGAGGTGGGATTGGCTGCAACTGTCCCGCCGGCCGCTTCCGTGTTGACTTCATGATCTGGCAAGTGGGACACGATGCCACGTGTCGCTGCAGGTCGGTCAACATTTCGGGCCAGTAATAATACCGCTGCAGCTGCTGCCGTGTTTTCTCTACCCCGAAATGTCCCAAGGTAACCCCGTCGTGTGCCTCCTGTAATAGTAATTCCCGTAGCAGTGTGTACCCTGGTACCCAGATGCGGTCGGTCCCTTGGCTGCTGCGAACTGCTGCGAATTTCCTCCTGTGAAGAATGGGTCCGTTTGATATCCGTGGGTAAATAGTCCTGTCAGTAGCGGGCTGGTCTGGGCGAGTAGTATCGCGTGGATCTGGGCAGTGGGGCGGGTCAGTGCGTCGGCGATGTTCGAGGCTCCTTTTTTATAGGTGACTGTGTAGTGGAAGTTTGACTCGAGGAAATCGAGCCACCGAATCTGTCGTGGGTTGGGGTGGGGCTGTTCGCGGATGTACTGTAGTGATCGGTGGTCTGTCCGTACTGTCACGTCTGCGCCGGTCAAGTAGCAGCGCCACACTTTGAACGCATGCACGATCGCGAGCATTTCGCGGTCGTGTATCGGGTAATTTCGCTCGGGCGGATGCAGTTTTCGTGACTCGTATGCGATGGGCTGTAGGCCGTTGCCGAAGTCCTGTAGCAGTACGGCTCCAATGGCGATGTCGCTTGCGTCTGTAACAACCTCGAAGGGGCGGTGTGGGTCGGCGATGCGCAGGACGGGCGGTGAACAGAGAACATTTTTCAGGGCAGAGAAGGCAGCATGCTCTTTCTCCCCCCACGTAAAGACGACCCCCTTGCGCAGTAAATCCGTCAGCGGGGCAGTCAACTGTGCCATGTCGGGGACGAATCGACGAACATAATTAACGAACCCTAAAAAACTCTGCAGTTCCGTGATGTTCGTCGGGGGACGCCACGCTTTTACCGTATCCAGCTTCTTTGGGTCGATTTCAACTCCAGCCTCCGAAATAACGTGCCCCAAAAATTCTAGTTTGTCCCGAAAAAACTCGCACTTAGAGCCCTTGGTTAGTAATCGATGTTCCTCTAAAACTTTAAATACTGCTTCGAGATCCGCTAAATGCTGCTGCTTGTCGCGACTGTAGACGAGGATGTCGTCGAGGTAAACTATCACGCATTTATCTAAGAGTGGCCTAAACGCCTCGTTCATGGTCATCTGAAATGTTGCGGGCGCGTTGGTCAGCCCGAAAGGCATCACCGTGTACTCAAACGACTTGTACCTAGTCCTAAATGCTGTCTTGGCGCAGTCCGATGGTTCGACCCGAATCTGATGGTAACCCTCCCGTAAGTCTATTTTCGAAAACACCCGTTCTGTTCGCAGTTGGTCGATCAGTTCGTCGGCGCGGGGAATGGGGTACCGCGACTTGACTGTTACCCTGTTGAGCGCTCGGTAATCGATGCACATGCGAAACCCTCCGTCTTTTTTCGGTGTGAACAGTATCGGTGCGGCGAACGGTGACGAACTTGGTCGAATAAACTGCTTCTCTAACAAATAATCTAACTGCTTCCTCAGTTCGTCGAGCTCGGGCTGTGTCAGTCTGAACTGGCGCTGTACAGTTGGCTGTGCCCCCGGTTCTAACTCGATCCTATGATCATGCGCCCGCTGAGGTGGCAGTCCTTCCGGTAAGTCGTCTGGAAAAATCCCCGGGTACCGTTTCAACAGTTCCTGTAGTTCGGGCGGTACTGCTGCCAACAGTTTCTGAAAATCGCTCGGCTGCTCCGCTTCTCCTACTAATGCTATATCTACTGCGTACACGTCAGCTCCAGCGGCGACAACCCGTTTCATCGTGATGGCATTGACGTGGACCGTTGAAGACTCGGGCGACTGCCAGCGAGGTAGCATGACCCAGTTACCGCTACTTCGCACAGTGCAGCTACCCGTCGTCCAGTCGATTCGTGGGTTGTACCGTCGTAGCCAATCACGTCCCAGTAAAACATCATGTCCATCCAATGTCGTCGCGAGCATTTCCTGTGTAAACCCGAAGTTTCCCCCGCAGCAAACTTTTACTCTCTCCACCTTCTCCCGTATGGCCAGCGGCGTGCCGTCAACTAAGCGTGCGTCGATCTCAGGTAAGCAGCGACTAAGTGTCAGTTGTAATTTTCGCGCAGTTTCGGTATTAACTAAACTGTGGCTTGCTCCT